ATGCGACCTTGAATTTCGTTAAAAAGTTAGCACCCCATTTTTAAAAAATTATTAAAAAATGTTTATTAAGCGCATATGTCATTAAAAATCATAGAGAAACTCTTCGTATCGTCAAAAAGAAGCAGAAATTATCATTAGAACTATTGTATCTAAAAATTAATTTTTCAAAAATTTTTAATTTTTTTTTAATATTCAAAATTTTTTTTTACATATCAGGAACTCTAGGCAATTGCAAATTGAAGCTATTAAGCCGCTCAGAACTATTCCACCTCGAAATTCGATAAAAAGTTAGCACTCCATTCTAAAAAAATGTAAAAAAAAATGTTTATTGAGTGGAACTCTTGTTATTAATTATAGGGAACTCTTCGTCTCGTCAAAAGGAAGTGGGAACTCTAATCAGAACTCCTGAGTACTATAGTTGGGGTGCTAACTTAATATACCCTTGTATCGGTCGATGCTGGTTGCAATGCATGTATAATTGACATCGAAATTGTTGCAATGTTTTGTGTCACGTATTAATGTTAATGCTTAATGGAGGTCACATTTCCATCATAAAATTGTTTAACATAAAATGGCTTTTTCTACACATCTAGATAATATATACTATATAGATAAAAAAATACCATGACATTTAAAAAGAACAGTTTGAAGTTTTGAAAAACATGTTTGAAAAAGTCTTTAATAATATTTTATGATAATAAAGTAAAAATCGAGTTTTTCTCGATTTAATATTATTTTTAATTATTTTTCCACATTCCACAAAAGTTGAAAATATTTTAAGCATTTACTTACGTTTAATAAAATTATATCAAGTTATATCAAGCGCAAAAATTAAAAAATTTGCTACTGCAATATCCCATACTTTTGATCATAAATAAAAAAAGTTTCAAGCCATTCTTCCTATTCTTTATATCTATTCATTATTATATACATAGCCTAAATGTAAACGAATGAGACAAAAAAAGCGTATATAGAATAATTAGTGACAGAAACGTCTAACCAAAGTGTGAAAAGAATCATGAGGACCAGGCAAAACGAAAAGGAAAAAGTTCAAAGGCGGACAAATGAAGACTTACACGCCGCCAACCTTGCAAAATACGAATCGCTTCAACCCCTCCACCTCATCCTTCATGTCTTACTTCCTCGCGAGGGTGTAAACCGCCACTACAGAAACGACACTTTCATGTTTCTCAGTTCCTTTTATCGCTATCTTCTCAACTTCTATTTAGTTCCTCTTTTCAACCCATTCTGTTTCTTTTCAATCCATATCCTTTCCTTTATCCTTCTCCTTACTTTCCGCTTTACGGAATTTCTTAACTCTGCCCCATAATTAATCATTTAATCTCAACCCTACTGTCGTTGTCAAATTGATCAGGAAGTTACTATATGAAGCATTAAATACCGGAAAAAAAAAGTTGTTTCGTGAAACAGCTCTTACATTATAAAATGAATGCGACAATCAAACGTTATATATCGCGTTAAAATCGTTCTTTTACGATGCTTTATCATTTTCCGATATTGGTGCGATCTTTATTGCGTTTGCAGATATCCTCTTAAATTACGCGTGGCAGCTTTTCCTCCTCAAATGGCGGACGAACATTTTTATCCTACCTAACGCAGGCACATAATATACACAGGTGCCCGCAGGTCAGATTGATGTACACGCTGAGTCTCCCACGCGGACTATGCATACACGAATGAACGGTGGATACGCACTGCTGCTTGCCATTCTATAGGGTGCCCTGAATACAAGCGCTCGGATCGTAATAGAATAGATGATGAAAAAATTACACCGGCATTGTAAAATAAATGACTTCTTACGCACGTTTATCACAAAACGATATTTTGCATTTTTCGACAACTTCTAGATGATCTTTTGATTACCTATTTATATTTTCTAATCTTGTTATATTTATCGTGTTATTATTATAAATATCATTTAATGATTTACACATTTTTGCTGCCGAAATTTTTTGTATAGTATATTTTAAAAGAAATAATCCTATTTTCAAAGTGGATCTTAATATTTAAGTATTTTATACAATGTTAACTTATATACATATTCAATTCTGCAAACTGCAGTCTGAAATCTTTTTCAGTTTTGAAACCCAACTATGAATCAAACTAGAGTAATAATATCGCATATTAAATTAGCAAGTAATTTAATTATTGCATCTCTTTTATAAATTAAAAAAAACTTTAGAAACAGAAGGAAAAAAGATTGCATCTGGAAGACAACACTTCTGCGTCATAACATTTTTTTTAATATTACCAAGGAAAGATTTAAAGAGAAGACTACGTCTCGAGAAAGGAGGCAAAACAAATCAGGTAAATGGCGAGAAAGTCTCCTTAAGAGTACACCTCGAGAATACATAGCTAGAACATAATGCACGCGCGCGTGAATGGTGAATATTTTAAGTACGTTTTACGAGAACAATTTATTCGAGGAAACAAAGAACACGCGCCTTCGTCACCTGTTCGAATCATTGCGCTTCTATCCGCGTCACCCTGTAGACTGCGTGGAAATTCTGACATACACACACACACACACACACACACACGCACGCACACGCGCGCGCGAGCGCCGCGCTTACTCGGTACGCACGTCATTGTCCCTGGCAGTCTGTAATTTACTAACTACGCATCTATTGTGTATCGCCACTCTGTTTGCTGCAACACCTTGCTCTGCCTTTCTTTACACCGTGTAGCCCTTCCTCCGCTCATTTGTCCCTTCTGAACCTATTTCAACCAGGAAACAATGTTTCTAATGGGTTTCCTTCTTATATCTCAAATTCCGAGTTTAACCTCTCGTTTTCTCTTTGTTTCTTCAAAGTAAATCCGTCGCAGACGACATTCTTATGTGAAGAACTTCAAATTTCAGTCTAAGTGATCACTTAGTTGTCGAACAAGACGAAAGAATAATCCGTTTTCTCTTCTGAGAATTTTTGTTGTCTTTTGTAACATAATAACTCGACTTTGATTTTATATATCAATTTTATATATCAATTTGACTGATTTACTCACCTTGATAAACCGCTTGGCCTTGGTCAAAAGGCCCAACGTGGTGTGCCTTGAGGTTTCAGGTCCGAGTGGCACTAGCAGCTTCAGCTTCTCGAGACAAGTTCTAAGGTGGGCTCTCCTGTAACAGAAAAAGAAACACTACCGTAACCAACTGTAACTTTTTTTTTACTTTTTCGCGTATTATACTGTGCAAAATTTTTGGTAGACAAACCAGGAGATTCTGATCATATCGATCAGAATTCTCATTATCTCAACTAAAATAGATTCAATCAAAAAATTCTGATTTATTTTAATCATTTTCATCAAAATTCTTATTAATGCAATGAAACTCTATTTCCATATTAAATTACTCTTATTATAAGTAATTGAATTGCATTTTTATGTACCATTCTATTAGCCTTAAGCAATTATCACTATACAAAACGTAAAACTCTTCTTAGATGTCTTAATTATCGTAGAAAAGTGGATTGGTAAAGACGTCCATTTTCGATGACACGCACTGAATGCGTGCATATCACATGTGCTATTAGCGGCATTTAATTATAAGTTTACGACTACTTTATAGTCACTATTCTGGAAAATAAAGACTCCGACGACGATAATGGATGGAAGAACGAGACCATGGAAATTTTGAATTAAGGTGAATTCACACAAAAATGAAACATTAAAACAGAGAAGTAGAACAGAAGTTTAGAAAATAATGAAAAAGAAAATTTGTCGTTTTCAAAAATAAGTTGTTAAACTTCAATCCTTTTTTCCACCACTGGAATTTCGTCAGAAAAGAATTTATCTTATAATATATGTGAATAGAGCTTAAACCCATCCAGAAACAGGATGACGCGTTTGCACGTACATTTTACGATAAACAATAAGCCCGCTCTAGCTTAATGACGTCATCAAAGAGTATTATGTCCCACGAGCTGCGGAGTGGACGTGTTTTAACCGTAAATAGACGCGTTTCTGTCTACATAGCCTTACGTCTATATCTCTAGGCAGGTACTCGACGTATATCGAGATATATCTGTAACACTGATTATACTGTCATCATCATCTTCTTTAGAATATCTTTAGAATAATTTTCCTTCGATGGAACTATTAAGGACAATCGTCATTTAATGCTTTTAAACCAACATTACATATTCTTGTAATTAAGATAAAAATTTTAAATAAATAAAAATCTTCGATAGTTTTTTGTTTCATTTTGCATTTTTATTAAAAAAAACTCAAATGCCACACGGAAAAAAAATTAGCAATAAAAGCTAATATACAGTTAAAATGTGTCTTTAAAATAGAGACAGCTAATGCTGTTGATGCCAAAGCTAAATTTATTAGCTATTTGCACTTATGTGCTGTAGCAACAAATTTTTGCTACTAAAGTAATATGACGAAGCATTTTCCGTAATGTATGTGCATAAGTAAGGAATTTATGTATGTCTAACACCTTTTCAGCTACTTGTACTAATAATATTTTTAATTTTAGCTAATAAAGTTTCATGCCACAGTAAATACTTTTTACCTGTAATAGCCAAAACTTAGCAATGACACTAAGGCGATAGCTCTTATAGCTAAACACTCAGCTATTAAAATAGCTGCTATTGTCAAGTTATTTTTTTTTATACATATACTGAGAAAAATATCTGATTAAAAATTATATCAATCAGAATTCCAGTTATCTTAACTATAGAATTCTAATAGATTTAATCAAAAAATATTCTAATTCGTCCATTTTTAACTACAATTCTAATAAATCCAACCAGACATTTTTTTCAATGCAGAGAATTAAAATATCGTGAAAGAGTATCTCTTCCTGTACAAATCGCGTTTTCCAAGAGTACCACACAATTCCCGCCATTTTCGATTAGCAACAACATTTTTGTCATGACAAGGGAAGGGCAAGGAAGGAGAAGAGTAGAGAAGCGATCCTTCAATCAATGGCAGCGTGTGACAGCGGCATTATGAAATTCCTTTACCGGTAGGGGTTACCCTGATGAATAAATACTTCGCGCGGAATTTCCGCGCGTCAGAGTCGTCGGGGTAGTTCGGCAAAGACGCGGTTACGGCAGATCCCGCGAATCGGGGTACGTACGCGGAAGATTGCCCTCAAAGGGAGAATGCCTTGGAGACGCAACGAGCGGCAACAGTCGAATATTAGTCGATAATTCGCCCGCAAAGTTACCGAGCGGAAAACGAGCGATTCTCTGTTTGTCTCATTGTCTATTCCACGATTCCGAGACATCTGATATCTTTCCCTTTTAATCGAGAATTTCGAGATACACTGAAATTTAAGCAATTTACTCAATTTAGCTGCAAAATGGAACTAGCTGCGCTTGAGGCGACTTGTATAAAGCGCGAATAACGTTGCGTTGTGTAGCCAAGCCTGGCGGGAGCAATGGCCGGCCATGAGTTAGATCGCTTTAACAGCCGCCTGTAAACAGCCTCGTAACTTTACTTCTCCTCCCGCTCCGATATCTTTTCCCCTCCACCCCCTTTCTTCTGTCTATCTATCCATCCCATTACATTACATTGCTGCATCATCATCCCCCTTGTTTCATATTCGTCTCTCATCCTCTTATCTCTCTTAATCCCCATCTTTGTCTTTAATTCTTTCTCTTTCTTTCTTTCTTTCCTTTTCCTTTCCATTCTATTTTTATCTTTACCTTGCTCTATTGCACAATTGATTATCAATGCTAAAATATTTCTAAAGTCTATAATTATGCTACCGTGTATGTTGATTCCAGTTATATTATTTATATATCCACACAATATGATTTCTCGTAACATTGAATTGTAAACATTTATCTATTTATTCTAAGATTTCTGTATAATTTACTAATTTTCATCAATCTAGTTCTGATTCTAGAAAATCAAATTGTTCTTTTATTTGTCCTGCACAATTATGTACTAATTATATATATTATAATAATTTTTAGTTCTATAATCTAGCTATCTCAAAAATCGCGTATTTATTGCTTCCACAAAACACACACACACACACACACACACACACACACACACACA